TTTTATTGATGAAAAATTTTAAGCTTCACCATTCTTTTTCTAATTAATGGCAAAAATTAACAAGGTGACATTTTTGTAATTATTTTAGAATACTTGCAAAAAGTTCCATTTGAATTTAGAATAGTTAAATAAGAAGGCCCTTCATGTGTGCTAGACAATGAGAATAATGAAAGGTTTAGATTAAACGTTCTCATAATAATAAGGTTGAGATTTACATACATACATTTATGTGTGCACGCGCATGTATGTGTGTCTGTGTTAGACCCCTAAATTCTATTTCCCCGTGTAACAGTCTGTATAGTTAAAAACATACTAGACCAGGCGATTCGGTTAGTTTCTCATTAACGTCAATCACTTTGTCAGAAAACGGGAGAATAGATATCACTGCTGGCCTTAACACTCTCAAATGCACCAAAACTCTCGCCCTAATTCACATCACTACGAACTTCGGGTAACTCAACATACAGAACATCACCCAGAAGCTCCTGAGCATGATCAGTAATGCCTATAGTGGCAGAACTTCCATTAACTTTAACCCATCTGTGACTTTCTGCATACACCAAACCCTTGACCATTGAAACAAACAGTAAAAAGAAAATTATCATTATTTTAAAAAATATTAACATTGTCATATCTCAAAAAGGATATTGTTTCGTATCTTCCCCATCTTTTGCGGATTCGAAGTGTTCATACATTGTTACCAAACTTTTTACCCATGGATAGTTTTCTTTCCAATGTGTACAAACTATAGGGATGCTAATTGAATGGAGGAAAATTTAACAGAAACAAATAAAATATTGGTGAAAATTACACCAAAAGCTAATGATATCATATAACATGGACATCAAATGACACGAATTAGAAGTTAGTATTGAATTGGAAATAAAATATATCTCTTAAAATCAATGTAGAGAAAAAAAGTTAGCAAAGAGAAAGATAGTACACAATATTACCACCGTCCATCACGATTTTTTTTAGAGAAACATGCATTTCATAGATTAAGTAAAATCATTACAAAGAACATCATGGATACATTCCGGGATTACATCACGATAAACACGATCACAGTTAAACTCGCAAGATCGAGCTAAAGTATGTGCTGCCATATTCAGCACCCGATTAACATGCTTAAAAGAACAAACAAGAAAGCTAGTAGCAAGAATTCTAATGTCAGCAATAACCGGCCCAAGCACCGAGCGATCCTTTCCACGAGCTTGGACACGTTGAATGACAGAAAGACAATCTGAAGCAACACTGATTTTCAGGAAACCCTCAGCCCGAGCAAGATTGAGTGCAAGCCGGATAGCCAAAGCTTCAACAAGTGCAAGGGTAGTGACTTCATCAAAACGTTCGTTGCAAGCAAGCAAACAATGCCATGTGTGGTCCCGAATCACTATCCCCACGCCCATTTTACGATAACTAAGGAAGAGGGCAGCGTCCACATAAATGCAGACCACATCAAGCGCCGGTGGAACCCAGCAAAGGTCCAAACAACGAGAATCACCTCTGCTCGTCGTCAAAGGTTTAAGGCTGTGCTGCGCAAGCATTTCCAAGTAGGCGATAATTTTGTCTGCCACCCTTCGAGGGTGAATCACCCCTTCATTATTATGGGCTTCATTCCTCGCCGTCCAAATATGCCAAAAGGTAACCGCAAGAACCGATGAATGTCTAGCGGTCTCACTGACCAGAAAGGTAAACAACCAATGCTTAGCATTGCTTAAGTTGTTCCTGCACAATTTAATAGGATAATGTACCTTGATAGTGTTCCAAATTGATTTTGCAAAGGGGCACATTAGGAAGCAATGCTCACGTTTGACCCGATTGCAAAAAATGCAACCTTTTGGGACAGGGATGTGACGTTTCTGAAGCTGACCGTGCATCATGATTAGTATTTAGGCATGGCACCAACATTTTGTAATTGATTTTCTCTCCTAAAGGTGCCTCTTTTTAAAAACGAAAAGATTGGAGAACCATTATGAAATAAAAATTTATAGTCACATGTCATTTAGGTGTGAATTTTGTGCATTGTTTATTCTATGTTTTATTAATTATCTCTACCAAATTAATTGGCCTTTTATTCCTTCAAACATATTACTCTCTTCGTCCCATTAACAATAAAACAAGAGAGAGTAACGCGCAAACCAATAAAAATGGTTTATGCGGTTGATATTGAAATGAGAAAGTATGAATAAAGTAAAAAAGATTTAGAATCACGCATATATAGTTACTAAATTTGATATGAGACAATCTTAGTGAGACGGATTGTAAAGAAAAGATGCGACAATCTTAACGGAATGGAGAAAATATGTTTTTTTTAGTTTAATGTCACTTTATTATTGTAATATTATATTTACTATAGTGCTGATGCCCCGGCTTTGGTGGCTAGTGGTGGTCATCACCGAATCGAGTAACTACAACTGGTCCGATCGAGTAATACAACTGATCGGGTCGAATACTGCAATTGATCCGGTCGAATAAATGTTATTGGCCGGGTCAGATAGTTATAATTGATCGAACTAAGTAATTATAGCAGCGAGGGGTATGAAGATCATATACGTCTCTTTTTGGAAACATTTAAAATTACTCTTCCGGGTTCGATTACTGGCAATTGCGATGAGAGGTTCATACATAAGGTCTATGAAGTATCTGAGACAAAGCCCCACTCGCTATTTAACATTTTGTGAATAAAAGCCAATTTACATCCTCCCAATTAACTTTTAACTATATGGATGGTCTGGAGGCCTCAATGATGGGGTGTCATTTGTTTCTGAAATTAGTTTGTTCTTGTCAATGAGCTTTCATTCGGTAAACTTTATTATTTTCATTCAAAATAGTAAATATGTGAATAAAGATATTTCTCTAAACTCTACACAAACAAGTTTGGTCAAGTTTTGTGACATGAGGCCGAGGCAGTATAAGATGATGTTATCTTTCACTAAAAGCCTATTTGGGATGTTTTCATTTGGACTGTTTTTAGTCGCATACCAGATCAGATTAAACCAGACCAAATTTAAATAGACAAGATTAGACCAGACTTTCGTAGTTATCAAATGCAAAAAGACCAGTCATTTACCAGATCAAACCAATTTAGACCAGACAAAATCAGACCAACAAATTTCAATCTAAAAGAAAACACCCTTGATAATACCGAAATTGTTTGAGTTGCTTAAATATGCTGAAATTGAAGGAATTCCGGTTGAAGTGATTGCATTAACTGAATTCATGGAATTGTGAAAATTTTAAAATATATTTTTATTACTAAAATCAATAAAAAAATACATGGAAACATCATGAAGTTACACATAATTTTATTTATTTTTATTTATTTATTTATTTATTTATTTATTTATTTATTTATTTATATATATATATTTATATATTTATTTATTTATGAGAATATTATCCGAAATAAGACTAAAAATGTTTGAAAATTCCAAAATAGGACTGTCATGTTTTTATTCCCAAAATATGACTAATTATTTTCATGTTTTGGTAGTACCACACTTCAAACATGACAGTATTTTTCAAATTTGTCAGTAATTACTCCTATTTTAGAAATAAAAAACATGAAAGTCCTTTTTTGAATTTTTCAAACTGTTTTAGTCCTATTTCGGGAACTTTCCCTTTATTTATTTATGAGAATATTATACGAAATTAGACTAAAAAAGTTTGAAAATTCCAAAATAGGACTGACAAGTTTTTATTCCTAAAATATGACTGATTACTACCATATTTTGGTAGTATCAGACTTTAATCATGCCAGTATTTTTCAAATTTGAAAGTAATTACTCCTATTGTGAAAATAAAATTGTGGCAATCCTACTTTAGATTTTTTTAACTTTTTAGTCATACTTCAAATAGGACTAAAACTATGACAAAAACTCAAAATAGGACTTGCTATGTTTTTTTCCCAAAATAGGACCATAGTGGTCCTATTGGAAACATACTCATTTCTTCCTTCCATTTTTACCCCTCCTTTAAATATTAGTAAAAGATAGCTAAAAGTCATAAATAAATGTTTAATTCATAATAAATTCGAAAAAATTTCAATAATTCGTAGAAAAATAAAAAAAAAATTAATAAAATTTTTATAAAATAAAAAATAAGAAAAAAAAAATTTTTTTAAATTTTTTTTTTAAAAAAAAATTAATAAAAAATAGTAAAACTCCACAAAAAAAATTAAAAAAAATATGGATACATTTCCCACCGCCTGTACTACCTCCCTGAACCACCACCTCCGATCGGTGTAAAAAATGCCACTTTTTTTTTAAATTCCACAAAAATGGCATATTTCTCTATGAGAATGCCAACATTTTCATTCTGCCAACTTGAATCCTTTTGACTTTTGCCAAAAATATGGCATTCATAATTTTTTTGGCATTTTTTTACTCCGGTGACAGGAGGTGGTGGTACCGCCTCCCTGCACCACCACCTCCGACCGTTAAAAAAAATGTCATATTTCCTACAAACTTCCATTTTTTTCGGAAAATGCCAAAAATATGGCATATTTCTCTTTGAGAATGCCAACATTTTTTTTCTTCCATCTTAAATCATTCTGAATTATGCCAAAAATATGGAATTCATAATAAATTTGGCATTTTTTCCCCAAATGACTAGAGGTGGTGGTGCTGGGGCGGTATAGGCGGCGGTGACAAAAAAAATATTTTTTTTATTTATTTTTTATTTTTTTTTATTTTTATTTTTATTTTTAATTTTTTTTTTAAATTTATTATTATTCAGAATATTTTTATTAATTTTTTGGTATATTTTACGAATTTTTATTATTTTTTATTATTTTATTATGAATTAAAACATTCCAATAGGTATAAGGGTATATTTGTCCAAGACAAACATAATTAGTCCTATGGAAACATAGTTTATTTTTTGGTCCTATTTGTGCAAAGTGAATGACTTTTAGTCCTATTTTGATAATTAACTCTTTTATTTATTTTGATTTTAATTACAAGACTTTGTAGCACATGAAATCAAACCGATAAACGTTACCAATGGGGCCATGAAATCATCCTAACTTCCAGGAAGGGAGAGAGTATATTTAGGGGTTGATAACCACTTGACGTCTGCGGATATTAGCTTTCTTCGACATATGTCTCTTCTCGATTGCTTTGCAGTAGTTATCCGGCGGAGTGACGGTAATTCTACTTTTATCAACTCTTCACAAATCGCAATCTCTCCATGTGTCATAGTTTAACAACCGTCATACAATCTGCGTCTCGGAAGCATTAGAGTTAAATAATAATAAGATCGCGAGTCGGAATGTTTTGGTTCGTGTGTTGATGAAGAACAAAGTCACTTTTCCCCTTGTTTTTAGGTTTATGTATTGGTAATTAGGCTTTATTTTTTATAGAACTAATCATATTTTCAGTGCTAAGCGATTTGTTATCAGTTTTGACGTTTCAGTGATCTATTACAGAACAGCATAAGCACGGCTACAATTAAGAGGTGCAGACTTGCCTTTATCTATAATAATGCTTCTGTTCAAATCGCTGATTCTGTATACACCTTTTTTCGAATTATTTTGAAAATTAGATACTGTTGTGAAATACACCTATTTCTATTCAGTATTCGTTTATATAATTATTCTGATTTGCTTTTGACACTTGGTTTTGTTGTTGAGTGACATTGCTCTTTAATTTCGAGTCTTATTGATGTAAATATGTAATGCCTGCTGAAAGCTAAATAATAATGGTTTCATTCACCAAGCATTGTTCTGCAGAACTTCCGTTTATTCTGTGATAGAATCTTCAGTTATGCAGCATAACATTTACTGGGTGGACGAGAAGGTCCTAAGACTTCTAATATGTTGGTTTTCGTTCTGTTTTGTATAACTCAACTTGAATTTATTCAGATTGACATTGAATTAGTTTTCCATTGTGCAACCCCTTATATGGTACATGTACATGTCCCTTTATTCTCAACTATATTGCTGGTACATAAAGTACTCAAGTAGTCACATATGTAGTAGTATTTGATTTTTTTCATTTCCCTTGGATATTTTATTATGAAAAGTGATAGAGTTGATGCTTCCATTTGTGTGCATGAAAATTGTGCCCTACTATTGTCAGTATCTTATTATCTTGGCAGCTTCTAGCAATTCAAAATGGACTTTGAAGAAGAAGAGAATAGTTTTTATGGAAGTGTCCCTGAGTTCGGTGCAATTTTTATGTCAAATATTGCAACTAAAAGGGTATGCTTTAAGAAGAAAGTCATGGGCAGTTCATTGTCCCGGGCTAGCTTTGTGAAGAAGATTAAATGCGGAATGGTCTTATTCCTATTTGAATATGAGAGGAGAGAGCTTTTTGGAGTTTTTCGTGCTAGTTCAGATGGGGGAATGAATATTGTACCTCACGCATTTAGTTCATCAGCCGGGGTCGACTATCCTGCACAGGTAGTTTGCAAATGAATGTGTTATGAATAAATAATTATCCATAAGTAACAGAAAACTCATAAGAAGCTGGAACTTTAGCCTTTTTGTCAATTAATAATTAATAATACTTGTAGGATATTTCATATGTGTAGTGTCTGTATGTTGGGCTATCCAGGTTTCTTTCACCCCAATTTGGAAGTGCAGTCCACTTTCTGAACCTGAATTCCGAGAAGCAATTAGTGCTAATTACTATTCTCAAAAGAAGTTCAACTTTGGGCTATCTCGAGATCAGGTCTGGTATATCTTACATGAACTCTATACGGACTGTTATTTGGATGGTTTTTTCCTTGTTTTTTCAAATATAACTGTCACTACTTATGCAGGTTCAGAATCTTCTCTTGCTGTTCAGCACAAAGAAGTTAAGAACTAAGCTACCCCCTAGACAGTTGACTAGAGTAAACAGAAAACGAGTTGGGGAAAATGGTAGTGTTGTTGATGACGAGAACCATGCACTGAGTAACAATAGTGGTCTTCTCAATGAGGATGACTTCAAGTCATCTCCGGTGGTAGCTTATCGAAGGAACTTTTGGGATAGAGATACTGTGAGGAATAGTGATACACGTCCCGGGGTAGATATGATGAACAATGAATATGGGGTTTGTTTTTCAGAGGGGAAATACCAGGATAATGTGTATAGTGATTCACCTAGTAGGAAAAGAGAAGATGATGACGAAAGGATATTTTTTAATGATGTTCCACATAATATGCAAAATGATCGCCCTCTTATGAAAGACATGAGATTAACTGAGGGTAGACAGTTCATGATGGATGATACATTTGACAATTGTAATCATCTTCCATCTGGTATGCATTCTAATGATCTTGTCGACCCTATTCATGTTAGTAGAAAAAATGATGGTGCTATGGTTACAGAGAGGGAAAGGATAGTAAATATATCCAACATAAACTTTGAGTCAGGGATGACCAGATTTGCATCGCATAGTGGAAATTCTCTGCTCAATGGTGGTTTTGAAGAGCGTCATAATATGGATAACACTTATTCATGTGACCGTAAAAGTGACCTTGGAAAGATTGTAGAAAATGCCAGTAGTCAGCCTAGATTGATTCATGATAGCACAGAAAGCAAGCATCTAAAGAACTATGCTACCATTTCTGATATCACATCTGCTCCTTTTGGAAGCACATCACAAAGCAATGACGTATTGTACGGCGATCCTAGACATCCAGTAGGTTGTAACAGAAGAGAACACAGTCCAGATGCTTTTGTGGATCCAAGTTTTCATGGTCGAACAAATAACCGATTTCAGTCTCCTGTTAAGGATGTAAGAGGACGTGAAAATACTAATGATTTTCTGCTTGGATCTCATCCCTCGAACAAAAAATCCACTTTTTGCCAAAATGTAGATGAAGAAGGGACCAATGCAGATTGGTATTTAAAGAAGAATGCTGCCAAAGCTACATCTTATGTGGAGAATTTTGATAGGTTTCATGAAAATACTGATGAACATTTGATTGGATTGCCTGCTTCAAACGAACAATCTACTTTTTGCCAAACTGCAGCTGAACAACGGGCCGATACAGACTGGTATGGGAAGAACAATGCTAAAAAAGCTGCATCCTATGTGGAAAATTTCAATAGAGTTCATGAAAATACTAATAAATTTGTGCTTGGATCTTCTGTTTTAAATGAACAATCTATTTTCGGACAAAATGTAAGCGAACAACAGGCTAACACAGACTGGTACAGGATGGACAATGCTGAAAAAGCTGCGTCTTTCATGGAGAGTTTTGATATGCATCACCGTTCACACAATGAAATGAAGCAAATCACTCCACCAAACTCTGGCATGTCGTTTTTTGAGACAGCTCTCTCTCGAATTACGGAAGCTGTAAACTTTGAATCGTCTCCCTCTAAACTTCAAACTGTAACGACAATCGCAAGAGCTCCACCATCTGATCATGAGCTTTCCACATCTCATTATGGAAACTTCTCATCTCATCTCGTTGATGGCAGATCTAGTTCAATACATGAAAAAAACTCTCATTGTCTCAGAGGTATGCCATACCATGAAAAAGTAGGAGGTACAACAGGACATCCAGATATTACATTTGCTGATCACAGGGAAAGATCACATCTACCTTTACAGCCTCGGATTCGTGAATCTCATTTTGAGTTTGAGTATGCCAAGAATCTGGGACTTCATTCTTATGAAGTTCTACCTTCTCAGATGCCACATATGGCTTCTATGGCTGTTGCTGGGCCAGGTGATGCTGCTCCTGAAGGGGAAAATGCAGGTTTTTCCCATCTATCCTTCGATTTAAAAAGTTATCCTTCATATGCCACTGAACGCACTTCATTGCCACCTGGTATCAGAGAGTGTATGGCTGTGCAAGAAACTGATGGAATGATTATGGGCGATGAGTTTTCACAAATGGATCAGAAGAATAACTATGATCTATATGAAACAAATACAGGGAATGATGGTACTTATCACAATTTATCATCTGAGATGTCAGGTTCTGGGTTCAGACAATTCAACCGAAAAAGCGTCTTCTCTCGGTTATCTGCTAGCAAGTGTTCACTCAAAGAAAAACAAACTGGCTATGTCACTAGTCATAATGATCTCCTGGACACACCCGTTGATGATGTCCCAGACACGTCTGTTGATGATGTCATGGGCATGCTACAAAGTCAGCTTAGTCAGGTTCTTCTGGTGAAGAGGCAAATGAAATTCAAACCATTGGGCAAATGTCCTGACAATAGTGAAGTAACTACCTGTGGAAAGCATGACAATGATCTGAAAAAGAATGTGCCTCAAGCCACTGAACAAAATGTTATTTCTCGTGCAGCAAGAGAGACACGGGTGGTGGATTTTGGGCGTCGGAGTGATTTAATGAAAAAGTCTCATGATAGAGACAGTTCTGTGGCTGAAAAACTTGCTATAGCTCCTAAGCATAGACAACTCAAAAGAGGTTTGATGTCCAAGGAGAAGATGCCTTCTGAAATTGAAATAGCAGATAGCTCCATGGTTAAAGAAATGCCATTTATAGCTCCAAATCATAGACAACTGAAAAGAGACTTGATGTCCAAGGAAAAGATTCCTTCTGAAAATGAAATAGTTAAGGATCCTGCATGTAAGCCTACGAAACGCAGAAAGCTGGTGAGGCCATTTTTTGGTAATGTTGGTGCATGTTTTCTGGGAAACCACCACAGTGATGAGACCTCCAATGACAACCCAATATTTGTTAAAGCACACCAACACTGTGCCACGAGTCAAGAACCAGAACCAGTCAATGAGCCGCCTTTAAGTGGGCAAGACTCAAGAAATAGGGATCCTGATGGTAACATTACAAATCAAAACAGCGGATCATCCAATGTGCTCCCCGCAACTGTCTGTGAGAACAAGGATTCTAACATGAATCAAAGATCTGACAACCCTGTATTTGTTAAAGCACGCCAACACTGTGCCACAAGTCAAGAACCAGAACCAGTCATTGAGCTGCCTTTAAGCGGGCATGACTCAAGAAATAGGGATCCTGATGGTAACATTACAAATCAAAACAGCGGATCTTCCAATGTGCTCCCTGCAACTGTCTGTGAGAACAAGGATTCTAACATGAAACAAAGATCTGACAACCCTGTATTTGTTAAAGCACGCCAACACTGTGCCACTAGCCAAGAACCAGAACTAGTCCTTGAGCTGCCTTTAAGCGGGCATGATTCAAGAAATAGGGATCCTGATGGTAACATTACAAATCAAAACAGCGGATCATCCAATGTGCTCCCTGCAAGTGTCTGTGAGAATAAGGATTCTAACATGAAACAAAGATCTGAATGTGAAAATTACAGTTCTAAAATGCATGACTTTTCATCCATGGAACCTGATGAAAAATATCCGGGGAAATTGTCTCAGGTTGAACCCCTTGAAACTCCACAGTGTACCCATGGTATCTCGTGTCCTGAAGCAGGAGGTGATGGTACATCTGAAGCTACCAAGGTTGCCGATAATGTTTCATGTCTTGACGATCTTCAAGGTGTTGAAAAATGTTTCATGTCTTGACGATCTTCAAGGTGTTGAAAAATGCAAGTTAAAAGGTGAAAGGGTGGCATATTGAATGACGTTAGAACTAAAATTATGATAGCGGCTGTCTGTGTGAAAGATAATGGGATTTGTTTTGTACCATATGGGAGGTGGTCAGCAGATTGCTATGTCCTGCCTGGTAAGCGGTATAAAATATATTTTTTGTCGAAGATCAGCGGTCTGAAGTCCCAAATATTTTGCTTCTACTTTTGTGCTCCCTCCCCACGTCAATAAGCACGACATGATATGGATCCATTTGAGACATAATATGAAGATAATATGAAGATGACACTGTCTCGTGTTAGCAAAAGTTTTTGCTATTAGATAGTAGAATGCTGACACTGGTGTCCATCTGTTATTTTTGTAACTTGCTCTATATAAATAAAAGCTATCTTGGGTTGCACAAGAATGATCAATAGATGTTAAACATGTCTGGTCCAAACAGTTTGTTTGGTTCTCTTTTACGGAATCCTTTTTTTTTTTAAACTTAATTTCCTTCTATTCCTCTCTCACTTTTACGTAAGCTGAAAGTGGATGTTAAGCGTAGAGAAAAAATCTAGTGGGAGTTTCAACAAATCCTTTTCTCTGACACGAATTGGTTGTCGTGATTAGAGCATCTCCAATGGTAAAATGTGCACGGTGCACACGTGACATGAGAAATGACCACATAAATATTAGTAAATAAATTCTTTCTCTCCTTATTTGAATGATCTTATACAATTTTGGTAAGTTTTTCTCCACAATGTCAAGGAGACCGTCTAGATGTTGACATTGCAGGGAAAAATTAACCAAAATTGTATAAAATCATTCAAATAAGGAGAGAGATAATTTATATGCTAATATTTATGTGGCTATCACTCATGTCACATGTGCACACATTATAGCATTGGAGATGCTCTTATAATGTCAGACTCAAAATGCAAAATTCACAATACTTAAATGGTACTCCGTAATTTGCAAAAGCAACTATGTACTATGTGATTTTATTTAGTATGGAGTAGTATGCAAATGCTCCATATTTGCCAATATTGTATGAGAAAACTGGAATATTAATGTGATTTTTTTAAACTGAAATGAAATTTATCTACAAAATTATGACTAGTAATTAATATATTAGTCTCATAGGCATTTAAGTGCATTTAAGTGTAAAAGTCGATTATAAGTTACTTGACTAAAGTTACTATTGATTTTTTAAAAAAAATTGTAGAGGATTTCACTATTTGTTGTGATGATAGAATAGAACACGCCTGCATGAGTATCATTATAATTAAAGTCTGTAATTTAACGTGAGTTTTAATGTATTGTTTCTTTTTAGAAAATACACCATAATACTTTAGAAAATATAGCAAAAAGAGTATTGTTTCTTAACTATCTTTTGTGTGCGCGCAACTGATTCTAACATTCCATTTTCTTTATGAAGATGGAATGTTTACATCTTGGATAATTTGATATATAGTACGTAAATCTCATAAAGAGAAATATTAAGAAGAACCCGTTACGTAACACTGTTTTTCGACTTATCAAACTTATCATCAACTTTTTAATCAAACACGTAACTTTTGATTTCGAATTGTGTAATTTAAAAAAAAGTAAGATTGAAGTAACTTTTCTAACTGTATTGGCTGAAGTTATTGTAAATGACCATTTTAGCTATTTTTCCATGTAATTTTTACTTTATTTTATTAATATAATATATTTTGAATATAATTTTTTCATAAATCATCATAATCAACCAATACAACCATTTCAACCATAATAACTTCATAAATTTCAGCAGGATCAGCTGATTCAAACGATTTCAGACTTTCATGTTACCAAACGGGCTCGAAAAAATATTATCGCCTTATCGGTACCCATTAATCATAGGTAAAACCGTAAAACTGGTCTATTAGAAAAAAAACACGTGAACTTTCTAAGCTAAATAGGCCTTTAATGTCTCACAAGCACTAGTTTATGTATTAGTTTGTGTACGTCGCTCTTACATTTTTGTTTGGGTGCATGCGAATAAATGCCCACAGCAACAAAAATCTTGCTCAATGCACAATTTAGTTGACACGAATTGTATGCTTGACGAATAATGAAGTGCATCCAAAGTGTACAAATAGTACATATTGGTGTTACTTCCGAAATTCTAAATTGAGGATCTCAAATTCTAATCATATCCAAGTTAAGCAGAAATTATTGTTCAAATATTAATATATTATGCATTGGTTAGAATAATTGAAACTTTTGGAAATTCATTGGACAAATAGGACGAAGCAACAAATATTGCACCAACAGTATCCAGTAATCAAGACGAACACATTTAATCATCAAGTAGACATCATCGTCATCATCACTCAATCCCACATTTACTTCGGCATCGTGCATTCCTTCACTCCACAAAGGTTGTCATGCACTCATGCTCGAATCTTAGATCCCAATCCAAATAACCTGCTCGCTAAGCAGCCGTTCAGCTATCCGAATAAAAAAATTATAACACTTTAAAGAAAAATTGAGATTTTTATTGGGCCCTGGACCATTTCTTTCCTCACGCAACGGCTAGCTTCCAAATATGATATGACTCATTTATACTCCCAATAAAATATCCTCTCTCCCATGTGGATAAGGGTAGTTGCTTCCCCCATAGGTATCCCGCCCCAAACAGGGGCGGAGCCAGGGCACTGGATCGGGCTGGATCGATACAAAGAATATTTTTGGAAAAGAAAATTACACGAAATTTTTACACTAAAAATTTAGATATTTTTAAAATTTGAACTGGGCCAGGGTCAGGATTGGTCCTCCCCTAGCTCTTTCCCTGGTCTCAAACCACTTGGACACCCATTAAAAAATTCGACTAGGGTGACAACTACCCTTATTCACCTCAATTTTTGGGGTGAAACCCTCCATTTCGAGGGTTTCACGTCTCGAGTTGTGATTAACCTTAAGTGAATAAGGAGCGAAAGAGACAAATGAAAATGAAAGTTGAATAGAACAAGCTTCAGAGTAAAATAAATCAAAATAAGATTTCAAGTATAATGATGAAGTGTAAAAAGTTTAATGATGATAAACTCTTATTTCGAATTTAGATTTTATAGTTTTTAAATTTACAATGAATTCCATATATCTCAATATATACTTTCTAGAATTTGATTGAATTTCGAGTGTTGGCAATTAGAAATTCTATCCACTCCTTTAAAATCTAGGCATCATCAATTTTTGATAGATTTTTATGAATTATCTTAAAGGTGGATTCTAATGGAATTCTGAGTTAAAAACACTACATCCTTCTTATCTAAATCCGGCCATCCATGATCAGATTCTTATGGATTTTGTGAAGGATACCAACCAATTTCGACTCCTATATTCGGGACTCACATAAGACCAATTTTTTAAAATGACTGAAATTACCGCAATGAATCACTTTAGACATTTTCATTTACGAAATAACTTTTATTTTAAGAAAAATTCACATTAATAATCTCAACTATCACCTGTCTTCTTATATTAATTAATCTCAAATATTGATAATTCCAATATAATCTAAACTTTAGAGAATGCCTTCCGGTAACAAGCCCGTGACCTGTATGAACTAGTTGAGTAGGTCATCAGACTATGTGGCATACTTTAATTGATCCGGATAACTTTTTCATTTTCTTTTATTTTTGTTTTTACTATTTCCGCTCGCATGTAGTGCTTCTTGTTTTCTTCATCCCTATTCCCTCGGTAAATTTATGGAATCCCATATGACTCCCTTATGGAGTCATATGAGGTATTGTGGCACCATCATCACCATTCATTTATTTAGTAGAGGACCCCACAAAATAAATGAATGGTGATTGTGGTGCCACCATTCATTTATTTCATCTCTGTATCTCCTCTCATCCTTCACCGTGTTTTCCCAAAGCTAGCCTACCACTCCCATCCAATTTCAATTTCATTATTACAGTTTCATCTTTAACAAAACCAATTTGGCCATTACATCAAATTTTCAGAAGGTTTTCTCAAATCTCTTAAATCTTCTACTTCACCCAAAACCCTTGAATCTTTTCTTCTTCATTCTATCATCAAACCGACGTGGTCTTCAGACCCCAATGAGGATGGTACCGTTTCCACCACATCTTGTCGCCGTTGTCGAACTCGTTTGGGTTTTCGGAAATCAATTTGTGCATAAAGAAGTAAAAGAGGAATATGAAGTAAAAAGAGAGCCTCAAGCGCAACGTCTCAAATTTCGATTTGGAGTAACCCAAAAAAATCTTCTGGAGTTGAATTTGAAACACTGAAATAAAAATTTGAGTTTGAGGATGACAAGGGAGGGGTTCAAGTCTTCTACGTGCAATTTTTGGGGAATAAGAAAGTGCAAAGATGCAAAGAAAATAAAGGATGAAAATGACGGAGAACATAAAGTATAGGAAAGAAGAAAGGGTGGAGAACGCAAAAAGTATAAAAAGAAATTAGGGGAGAAAATAAAAGTAAAATGAAAAACAAATGAGCTTAGGGATACATGGTCTTCCTGACACCACGCGTTTCTTTCTCTCTTTTTATATTTCTTATTTTGTTAATTTTTTACCTTGGTAGTAAGTCACCTGAGATCAATATGGGAAGAACCAACCTCTAAAGTTCATATTATTTGAGAATAATGCATATTTAGGTTAATATCAGAAAACTGGTAATAGTTTGAATTAATCTTGTGAAATTTTCCTTTATTTTATTTTATTAATAAATATATTTTGAATATAATTTTTCATAATTCAACAAGTTCAATAAGTTAACCATTTTAACAAGCATTTCATCAATTTCATCAAACCTAACCTATTTAGAAGTTAGCAAATTTATTACTCCGTATTTAAGAGGCCGTTTGGCAATACACTTTTTCGGCTTATCAGGTTTATCAACCAACTATTTCACCAAACACGCAACTTTTTACTTTCGTGCGCTGCATTGTGTAATAAGCAGAAAAAGTAAGGTTATTTACTCCTTATATCCCGTTTCCGTGCTACTTACTTATTTACTAATAAAATTTTAACTTTCGATTACACTGTATATAATTCACAAATAAACTCATGCGTTTAATGAATTTAGAAAATGTTTAAATTGGTATACACGTACTCTCTAATTCATTACCTGGAAGTGCATTTGTTTCTTCTCTCTTTTTTAATTATGTATTTGTTTGTATTGTATTACTATTAATAATAGTTTGATGTAGTTTATTTTTGTTTTTGTTTTCCAAATACTATTTTTCAAACGACAAAAATAGTTTGGTAAAAACCGAAAAAACCGAAATCGAATTAAATCGAATCGAACAAACCGTGGTTCCAAATTTTTGAACATAAAACCGAACCGAACCGAAATTTTTACTTTGATTCGACATTTGGTTTTAGGTGAAAACCGAACCGTTTGAACCGAACCCACCCGTACTCAGCATGGCTGATGATCTAAAAAAAATTGGGATAAATCGGAATGAGCTGCCGCCGGTCAGGCTCCCTACTCCGCCCCTTTGAAACGTCGGTAAGTTTTCCCCCTCCATGCATAACCGCTACGATCTGATCTGAAGACGCTCTATTTTATTCCCCCCTTCAAACTTCCGACACAGCTTCTACTCGTAAGTACCCCGCCGCCGCCAAATCATGCTCCGCAACCTGCGGTCGCGGCGGCGTCCGCGATATGGAGCTCAACTTTGTGCCGTAGCGGCTGCGATTCTCCTTCTTCTCTCTGTCTCCCTTCTCTACACCCGCCTCAATTTCTTCCACTCCAACCAACTGCATTCGTACCCCAGCCACTACGACGCCGTTTCACTCAATCACCCACTTACCGACGACCTAGCTGACTCTGATTTCCGGTCCTCCCCCTCTGATGACCGCATCGACGAGCTCGATGACGCAGTTCAGCTCAACGTGAACGACGAGGAAAATCTAGAGGCGGATGAGGAAGACGGAGAGGAAATTAATCGAAAGTCGAAGGTCTCGTCCAGGAACTACTTCTATGACCATCAACTAGGCGTGATTAGGAGGGCCTTAAACAAGCGGTCAATTGAGGAATGGGAAGATTACGTGAACTTTGAATCTAGCTTCAAATCAGGGTTCGGGTATGAGGTTGATGAATCTAAGTACGCCATTGCATCGGATGATTTGCCAGTAGATGAGAAGATGCGGAAGAAGTTGAGCGAAGTAAGGAACATCGAGGATGCACTTTTATTGAAGGGGTCGCCATTGAGGGAAGGTTGGGGAGACTGGTTTGATAAGAAAAGTGACTTCTTGAGGAGGGATCGCATGTTTAGGTCAAACTTGGAAAGCTTGAACCCAAATAATAATCCGTTGTTGCAGGACCCTGATGGGTCCGGAGTGACTGGATTGACTAGAGGGGATAGGCTTGTGATCAAAGGATTGATGAATGAGTTTAAAAACGTCCCATTCTTGGTTGAAAATACTCCACCGGTCTCAGGGTCAGATAACTCCAGATTAGCAGAAAATGACGTCCTGGGTACCCATAGCAAGGTAAAAGCTGTAGAAGACACTAATTCGAGCATGGAAACCTTGCAATCCTATTCAGAACTATTGAGAATGAAAGGTGATGTTTTGAGTAAGAGAAGTGATATTGAGTTTGGTATGAAGGGGGAAGTGAAATCTTGAGAGCTGAAGAGAGGAGTTTAAAAGACAACAATCACTTACATATTGAAAGAATTGGTGACTATGAAGCACGGAAACTCTCTGCGATTCACGTTTCCCTGTTTCAGAAACAAAGAAGCGTGTTGTAAACTCGGAAACCTCAAACTCCCATTTCGGGGCCGTTTCCGTAATTAAGAAGAATTGGGAGGCCCATTTTCCTAAATAATTAGCGTTCTGGAAGCTTTGGGTTTACATTTTTTTCTTTTAAGAATTTTTTTGATGAAAAGTAGTGTCTTTTACCAAATATAGTGAATTTTTCGTAGCAACATTGTGACGTTTCATAACGCAATGCTTTGCTAGAAATGTATTGCATTTTATGTTCAGTGCTAGTCGATTTGTTATCAGTTTTAATGTATTGATAATTAGGTTTTATGTTTTATAGAACCAAATTAATCATATTTTCAGTGCTAGGCGATTTGTTATCAGTATTGATGTTTAAGTGATCTATTACAAGACAGCATAAGCACGGCTATGATTCAGAGTTGCAGACTATGGCTTTATCTATAAGAATGCTTCGTTTCAAATTGCTCATTCTATGTACACCATTTTTTATGATTGAGTGTCATTGCTCTGTAATTTCATGTATTATTGATGTAATGCGTGCTAAAGAAAGATAAATAATAATGGTTTCATTCACTATCCATTGTTCTGCAGCACTTCCATTTATTCTCTGAAAGCAACTTCAGTTATGCAGCATAACATTTTGTGGGTGGACAAGAAGCTCCTAAAACTTCTACTATGTTGGTCTACGTTCTATTTTATACGTTAGGATTGATATTGAATTAGTTTTCCATTATAACCCCTCTAATAACACATATACATGTCCCTTTATTTGGGAGGTGAATGCAAACAGCAGGGACTCTCAGTTAATGAAAAAACTATCAAATATTAAAGATCTGCTAGTCACTCACTTCCATGGCCGGAATGAAACCGCAGTAGGCCTGGAGAAAATCTGTGTTAATGGCAGATTGTCTTCTTCACAGGTTTATGATATACTACGGGCTAAAAGACTGAAAAGGACCTGGATGCCTTTTATTTGGAGGACTTTCATCCCGCCTAAATTTTCATCCATCAAATGGCTGGTTTTCTGGGATAGACTGGCTACACTGGATAACTTGGAGTTTTTGAATTATGAAAACACATGCACTTTCTGCCAGCAGGAATCTGAATCTATTGCCCATCTCTTTTTTGCTTGTTCTTATACTACAGGTATCTGGATGGAGGTTCGCAAATGGTTGGGCATTAGAAGGTAAATGCCAACAATTGCTAGCTCAAATAAATGGATTAAAAGAGAGCACCAGGGAGCACATATCCACAATAAAGCGACCTGTTTTGCGTTTTGTTGTTCCATTTACACAATCTGGAGATTATGAAATGCTTCCTATTTTGATCGCGTCAGGTCCACCCCTCAGGAGGTACTGATAAAAATTAAAGTGGTGGTGTATAGAATACTTTTTAGTTTGTACCCGAGCATTGTCGTTGAGTTCTAATACTTGTCTTGTTTTTTTCTTATTTTGTTTGGTACAGTTGGAGATGTCTTATTTTGAAACTGGAATGTTCTGTGCTTAGCTACTGTTTTTGGCTTACAGTAAGGGGCCTGTCCCTTGCTGTTTGGGGTCTGTTTTGGTTGCTATATGTGGGCTAGGTATTATGTTCCGATTGCCCACATTTTGATTTTCTTTTGATCAGGGAGCTACTGTTTTACTCTTGCAGTAAGGAGCCTGTCCCTTGCTGTTTGAGGTCTGTTTTGGTTTCTATATGTGGGCTAGGTATGTTGCTGATTACCCGCAGTTTGATGTTATTTTGTTCAGGGGTATGCCCCGTAGCTTCTGTATATTACATTTTTGAAATGAGTAAACATGTACATTTTACCCGTTATTCTCAACTATGCGGCTGGTACATAAAGTACTCTAGTAGTCACTTAGTATTTGATTTTTTTTCGTTTTCCTTGGTAATATTTATAAAAATTCTTATAATTGATGCTTCCATTTGTGTGCATGAAAATTCTGTCCAACTAGTATGAGTGTGTTATTTGTGTGCATGAAAATTATACTCCCTCCGTCCCAGAAAATTCTTCCAAGTTTGACTTGGATCGGAGTTTAAGAAAGTGGGAATAAAGTGGAAATGTGTGGTTGTAGTTGTGTAAGAAAAAGGTGAAATGAATGTGAGCCACACAAATAATCAAAAAGGTGAAGTTGGAAGAATTTTCTGGGACGTCCCAAAAAGGAAAGTTGGAAGAATTTTCTGGGACGGAGGGAGTATGTGTGTCTGTAATAGTAATTATATGGGGGTAGCATCATTCTCAACTTCATGTAAGATATAATAAAACTATTATATGGACTGTAATTTGGATGGTTTTTCCTAGCTTTTAAAAATATAACTGTCACTACTTATGCAGGCTCAGAGTCTTCTCTTGCTGTTCAACACAAGGAAGTTGAGAATGATGCTACCCCCTACACAGTTGACTAAAGTAAACGGAAACCGAGTTGGGGAAAATGGTAATGTTGTTGATGATGAGAACCCTACACTGAGTAATAATAGTGGTCTTCTCAATGAGGATGACTTCACGTCTTCTCCAGTGATAGCATATCGAAAGAACTTTTGGGATAGAGATAATGTGATGAATAGTGATACACGTCCCGGGGTAGATATGATGAACACTGAATTTGAGGTTTGTTTTTCATATGGGAAATCTCTGGATAATGTGTGTACTGATTCACCTAGTAGCAGAAGAGAATGTAAAATGATCTTGTTGATCCTATTCATGTTAGTAGAAAAAATGATGATGCTATGGTTACGGAGAGAGAAAGGGTAGTAAATCTGTCCAACATAAACTTTGAGTCAGGGATAACCAGATTTGCAGCGCATAGCAGAAATTCTCTTCTCAACTGTTGTTTTGTAGAGCTTCATCATATTGATAATCCTTATTCATGCGACCGTAAAAGTGACCTTGGAAAGATCGTAGGAAATGCGAGTAGTCAGCCTAGATTGATTCATGATAGCACGGAAAGTAAGCATCTTAAGAACCATGCTGCCATTTCTGATATCCCATCTGCTCCTTTTGGAAGGCAAGGCAATGACGGATTTATCGGCGATCCTAGACATCCTGTAGGTTGTAACAGAATAGAATATAGTACAGATGCTCTTGTTGATTCAAGAAGTTATCCTTTATATGCTACTGAACGCACTTCATTGTCACCTGGTATCAGAGAGTATGACAGTGCAAGAAAGTGATGGAATGATTTATGGTGATGAGTTTTCACAAATGGATCGGAAGAATAGCTGTGATCAATATGAAACTAGTACAATGTACAATGGGATTTATCACAATATATCGTCTGAGTATCTGTTGTCTTCTAGATTCTAGGTACAGACAATTCAGCCAAAAGAGCGTCTCTCTCGGTTGTCTTCTAACAAGTGTTCACTGAAAGAAAGAAAAAACTGGCTATGTCACTAGTCATGATGATCTCCTGGACACTCCTGTTGATGATGTCATGGGCATGCTACAAAGTCAGGTTCTTCTGGTGAAGAGGCAAATGAAATTCAAACTATTGGGAAAACGTCCTGACAGCAGTGAATTCTCTCGCATTGGAGAGCATGCCAATGAACTGAAAAGGAATGTACATCAAACCACCGAACAAAATGTTATTCCGCATGCACCAAAAGAGACACAGGTGGGGGATTTTGGGCGTCAGAGTGATTTAATAAAAAGGTCTCGTGATAGAGATAGTTCTGTAACTTGTTATAGCTCCTAAGCATAGACAACTCAAAAGAGGTTTGATGTCCATGGAGAACATGCCTTCTGAAATTGAAATTGTAGATAGCTCTGTGGTTAAAGAACTGCCATTTATAGTTCCAAATCATAGACAACTCAAACGAGATTTGATGTCCAAGGAGAGAATCCTTCTGAAGATTTGAGAAGGAAACTGCATGTAAGCCTACGAAATGCAGAAAGCTAGTGAGGACATTTTTGGTAAAGTTGGTGTTTTTTTCCTGGGAAACCACCACAATGATGAGACCTCTAATGACAACCATTATTTGTTAAATCACACCAACACAGTGCCACAAGTCAAGAACCAGAACCAGTCAATGAGCTGCCTTTAAGCGGGCATGAGAACGGTTCAGACGTTCATGACTCAAGAAATAGGGATCCTGATGGTAATGTTACAAATCAAAACAGCGGATTATCCGATGTTCTTCCTCCAACTGTCCCTAAGAACAAGGATTCTAACATGAAAGAAAGATCTGAATGTGAAAATGACGGTTCTGAAATGCACGACTTCTCATCCATGGAACCCAATGAAAAATATCAGGGTAAATTGTCTCAAAGTGAACCCCTGGAAACTCCAGTGGACCATTGGTATCTCGTGTCCTGAAGCAGGAGATGATGGTACATCTGAAGCTACCAAGGTTGGGAATGATGTTATATGTCTACGATCTTCAAGGTGTTGAAAAAAAAAGCAACCCTCCCAGTCCTACTTGCAAGTTAAAATGCGAAAAGGTGGCATATGGAATGACGTTACAACTAAAATTATGCTAGCGGGTGTCTGCAGAAAGTTAATTGGATTTGTTTTGTACCATATGGGTGGTGGTCTATAGATTGCCATGTCCTGCCTGGTATAGTGGTGTAACACATTTTTTTGTATGAAGATCAGCTGTCTGAAGTCCCAAATGTTTTGCTTCTATTTTTTGTGCCCCCTCCCAAGGCAATAAACACTACATGATTTGGGTCCATATGAGATATATTATGAAGATGACTCTGTCTCGTGTTGAGAGATTTGGGTCCATAGTAGATTGCTGACACTAGTGTCCATCTGTTTTTTTTATTTGCATGATACTACCTCCGTCCCAATGGACTTTGCACTGAGTTAAGTGAGAAATAAGAATATTAAAAATTGTGTGGTTGAAAATTGTACAGAGGAGAGAGAAATTAATAGAACCACAAAATAGTTACTTTAATGAGAAAGAGACAAAGTTTTTTGGGACAATCAAAAAAAGAAATTTGGCAAAGTCTAATGGGACAGATGGAGTATATATTAAAGCTACCTTGAGCTGCATAAGAATGATCAGCAGATATTGAACATGTCTGGTTTCAAACAGTTTGGCTGGTTCTCTTTTACAGTTTTACGGAATCCTCTTCTTTTGCATATAAGTAATACTCCGTATAAGCAAAATAATGTTGATGTTAAACATAGTGGAATAATCTGGTGGTGCTTCAACGAATCCTTTTCTGTAACCCGAGTGGGTTGATGTGATTACATAATGCAATGTCAAAATGTCATTAGGTAGCTTGCAAAACGACTATGTACTACGGAGTAATTGATTTTTTTTTTGAAACAAAGTAATTGATTTTATTTAGTATGGAGTATTATAAGCAATAATATTCAATGGACAATTTACTTCAAATGCACTCTATATTATGCATGTATTTATTAGAAAACTTGTATAATCAATGATATTTTTTCAAAAATATTACTGAAATGAATGTAGTTACGTAGTCTCATAATCATTTAAGTGTAAAATTTGAATGTAAACTACTTGACTTGAGTTACAATTATACTCCAGTCATTACACTTAAGATGTCACATTTTTGTAAACAACTTTTATTTTAGTTACGTATATAATTATTTCATTTATTTCCATCATTTGCAATGGATCCAAAGACTCACTATTTTTTGACTTGAGAATATGATGGAATAAAGCAAAATGACTCAATAAACTGTCCGCACTTTTTTATTATGAAGCAGCAGACAATCCATGCAATTTTCGACGCAATTTTCACTATGGGTCATCCGAAAACAGTCTCTCTGTGCTTTAGTTCAGGGATAAGATTGCGTACATCCGACCCCCCTTACCCCACCGACCACCGTAGGTGGGAGCCTTTGCGGCACTGGGGTAATGATGATAATGATATAATTATTTCATTTGTTGATTTATTTTAATTATATTATGGAGTATATTATCATTATAAACAAAGTTTATAATATAACGTGAGTTTTAATGTAATGTCTTTCGGGGAATCGAGGCCCGAGGAAAAACTGCATTCTCGTCAACTTCATTACTTGTTGCACTCTCATTGTAGAAGTACCATGCACCTTATCTTCCATGGATTCCAATCTTAAGTGCTGTCTGTGTGACTGTGTTTGCATCAGAGAAATGGGATCAAGAATAGCATAATCATTTAAGTGTAAAATTTGAATATAAACTACTTGACTAAAGTTACAATTATACTCCAGTCATTACACTTAAGATGTCACATTTTTGTAAACAACTTTTATTTTAGTTACGTATATAATTATTTCATTTATTTCCATCATTTGCAATGGATCCAAAGACTCACTATTTTTTGACTTGAGAATATGATGGAATAAAGCAAAATGACTCAATAAACTGTCCGCACTTTTTTATTATGAAGCAGCAGACAATCCATGCAATTTTCGACGCAATTTTCACTATGGGTCATCCGAAAACAGTCTCTCTGTGCTTTAGTTCAGGGATAAGATTGCGTACATCCGACCCCCCTTACCCCACCGACCACCGTAGGTGGGAGCCTTTGCGGCACTGGGGTAATGATGATAATGATATAATTATTTCATTTGTTGATTTATTTTAATTATATTATGGAGTATATTATCATTATAAACAAAGTTTATAATATAACGTGAGTTTTAATGTAATGTCTTTCGGGGAATCGAGGCCCGAGGAAAAACTGCATTCTCGTCAACTTCATTACTTGTTGCACTCTCATTGTAGAAGTACCATGCACCTTATCTTCCATGGATTCCAATCTTAAGTGCTGTCTGTGTGACTGTGTTTGCATCAGAGAAATGGGATCAAGAATAGCATAATCATTTAAGTGTAAAATTTGAATATAAACTACTTGACTAAAGTTACAATTATACTCCAGTCATTACACTTAAGATGCCACATTTTTGTAAACAACTTTTATTTTAGTTACGTATATAATTATTTCATTTATTTCCATCATTTGCAATGGATCCAAAGACTCACTATTTTTTGACTTGAGAATATGATGGAATAAAGTAAAATGACTCAATAAACTGTCCGCACTTTTTTATTATGAAGCAGCAGACAATCCATGCAATTTTCGACGCAATTTTCACTATGGGTCATCCGAAAACAGTCTCTCTGTGCTTTAGTTCAGGGGTAAGACTGCGTACATCCGACCCCCTATTACCCCACCGTAGGTGAGAGCCTTTGCGGCACTGGGGTAATGATGATGATATAATTATTTCATTTGTTGATTTATTTTAATTATATTATGGAGTATATTATCATTATAAATAAAGTTTATAATATAACGTGAGTTTTAATGTACTCCGTATTGTCTTTCGGGGAATCCGGGAATCGAGGCCCGAGGAAAAACTGCATTCTCGTCAACTTCATTACTTGTTGCACTCTCATTGTAGAAGTACCATGCACCTTATCTTCCATGGATTCCAATCTCAAGTGCTGTCTGTGTGACTGTGTTTGCATCGGAGAAATGGGATCAAGAATAGCAGAATAAGAACAGAGAAAACGACAGTACTTTTCATTTCATCAATCATTAAAAGACAAACTATAAATCCATATTACTACAAATATTTCTAGAGACAATTTCCTGAATACAGAACTACAGAAGGGACAAAATGGAAAATAATGTAAAGTAGACCGCCAGCTCTTCAAATGCCATCTATCTGCATTAAGAATCAGCCTCCATAAGTTCTCTGTCATTTTAGGTTGATTTCACTCAGGCAATTGCACTTCAGTCCTTGAACTTCCCTTACTTATAGCCTCAGCTGGCGTCATGACAGCTCGTCAGTAAAATTGATTGTCATTATCTTCACCAAGTAGGCGCAGAATTACATAATGATCTTTTTACCTTGGTACCTACCGCTAGAGAGCCTCATTGCTAACACTAAAGCTTGTATTTTATTCAAAGGTCACACAAGAAAGAGTCAGTTGTCGGAGTCAGTAAAACTTGGGCTACCAAAATCACCGGAGTGTGCTGAAGCAAAAGATTCGTAACTGTCCAATGATGAAAGGGAAGAAGGTGAGCCAGAGTCATCCATGAGAAACTCATCATGCATGATATGTTCGTCATCATAGATCTCAGATGCCTCTGATCCAGACCCACCCAAAAGAAGCTTATTTATTGCTCCTTTTGCTGTTTCTACAAACCACTCATCCTCTGGAAGAGCACTGCCAATCAATCAAAGAACATAACTTTTTAGTTGTAGGGAGGGAAAGAGGGAACTAGAAGACTGTGCACAATGCAAACCTACCTTTGTACAATCCCCCGAACAGAAAATGTCCTGATTGCACGAGACATTATATCAGATGCTATTTGATGCACTATCCTGGAAGGGTAACCAGCAAACCGTGCTATCTCTACAGTGAAGTGCATATCCAGCATTATCTGCCAAACAACAAGTTGAGTGGCCTGGTTAGAGATTGGAATCAATGGATAATGAGATTGTGCCATTCAATCGGAAAAAAACAGCATGTTTTGGTCCTGGACAAGTAAAGAATGATGCAATGTGATTTAATTTAAAGGCTTCACATATCTTGTCTGGTATTAGTATATTACTGATTTTTCATTCTCTTTTCAAAAGTTATAGAGCATCTAAGTTAAGGATGATGTCCCTTACAAGTTCTATCTATAGAATGCTTCTTATCTCACAAGTCTCTTGTTTAATTAGCAAATAGCAACCATCAATACGAAACTACCCACTTATCAATGCTTGACTTCATCATCACCACAAGAAACTAAATATGCACTGGAGGTAAACATAGAAAAGTTTTTTTTAACAAAAAATGTTTCTTTGCAAAGAACTAATAAAGCATTGCCTCCTGCTTATCTGTATCATTAATAGTTTGGTTACAATTGATATCAGGTCTAATATGATAGGTTAACCAAATCAGGCCAGTTTCAGTATTGCAAATACCTGCTGCAATCCATGTTGTGTAAGAGGAGCAGAACTATCCTCCAGAACACTCCAAAATTCTTGCTCATCATACAGCCACATGACCACAGTCTCAATCAGCCTGGCAAGCAAAACCTTCTGTATTTTCTCCCTCCCAATTAGTACGTCACCAGCCACGGTTGCTAACTGCTGCAGCTTACCAAATAGAGCCTAAAAGGCCCATGAAGGTGTTACTTTTAAATGATAAATAGGAGTGACAGTTAAGAAAGCAAAGATGAGTTCTGGAACACAAGGAAACTAGTGTTTAAATAACTTTAAAATCAATCTCGTCACCTCCTAAACAATTGATTTTATGAAGTCCACAGATAAAGGGGGAAAAAACTGTACATCTTCAATTGACTGACAGTCTGATATGAATCAAGTTACAACATGTTCAAGAATTTCACCCCTCCTAGTCTCCTACCCAAGTAAAGAGAGTCCGAACAATACAAAAGTAAGGGAGTTCAAGAATACTACTACCTCCGTCCCTTAAAACTTTGCCAAGTTTTTGACTAGCATGGGGATTAATAAAGTAAAAACTGTGTGGTTGAGGTTTATGCAGAGGAGAGAGAATTAACTACAACCACAAATTCTTTACTTAAAAGGGAAAGTGGCAAAGTTAGAGGGACATCCAAAAAAGGAAAGTTGGCAAAGTTTTAAGTGATAGAGGGAGTATTATTAGGTGCAGATTGCAGAAGGATGTTTTATGGGAAAATGTACACAATCTCATCTCATTCAAGGTCTTTGAGAACTTGAAGAAGGGTAAGGTTTCATAGCTGTTTGTTGGTAGTCTTGTGGCTGATAAAAAATATCAAGTTCCCTTCTTGTTGTAACACCACCACCGCCCGATATCCACAGCTTGATTCACACTACCACAAACAATTTTGTAAAATTTGGCAGTTGCAAAACTGGTGTTGATGATAGAGACCCTTTTGAAATGCATGGAGGCGGCCTTGGCTTCTGGATTCCACTAGAAAGAGATCCATAGTCGGGAGGTCATGCTTCGGTAGTTCTGAATGAATTTCCAATAGTACCTCCATTGAAGGGGAGCCTTGGAGCACCGACGAGGGTGTCACTGTGTGACCGAGAGGTCACAGGTTCAGTCTTGGGAACGCCTCTAGTCAAAATGATAAGGGAAGGCTTGCTCCTTATACACCCCTGTGGTAGACCTTTCACCGAAACCCTCGCCTCGCGGAGACGCCTATGTGCATCAAGGCTGCCCTTTTTTTATCCCGTGAAACCGAGGAATCCCCGGAGAACCATGATCAAACTTGGGTTAAACCATTGCAGAATTGCTTGGGTCTTGGTTTGGTCAATTTCTACCATGGCACTATGAATGACAATACCCAAATAAACTACTCGTTGTGCACCAAAACTGCATTTGGAGTGCTTCAAACTAAAAACGTGAACAACACCAACATCCAAGCCTTATTCCCAAAAAAATTTGGGATGGGCTAACATGAATCGGTCCATGATATCAAAGCCAAAAAGAGAAAAATGATATAAAAAAAGGAAAAAAAGTAAAAAAAAAATGGATAAAATAAAGAAAATATATAAGATAAAAATAACATAAGAACATATGAAAGATAAAAAAGCATAAATATAAAAAATGACATTAAAAACATACAAAGATAAAGAAGATAAAAGATAAAAGAAAAAGAGAGGAAATAGAGAAAATAGATCACTCGTCCACATGAATATGTGTCTTCCACTCTGCTCTCTCCAAAACCATACTCTCATCCAACCCAGGAAGAAGCATATCCGTTCTGATTCTTCTAATCCAAGTCTGTTTCGGTCTTCCTCTCCCTCTCCTCACCGCCTCTTCTTCTCACCTCTCAAGTCGTCTAACAGGTGCATCACTCGGTCTTCTGCGCACATAACCAAACAAACGCAATCTTATCTTCTAGAGATGTTACTCCCACTTTTTTCTGATTATCTCATTCTCAAGCGGTCTTTTATGGTATGTCCATACATCCAACACAACATACACATCTCTGCCACACTCATCTTTTGAATGTGACATTGTTTCACCGTCCAACACTCCACTCCATACATTAATGCATGCCTAATTGTTGTCCGATAAAATTTAATTTACGGATGCACTAAAAATTTAATTTCTAAAAAATATAATTAAATTCTTCTCATTTTAAATTTTCAAAATGTGATTTTAAATGATTTTACAATTAGGGAATTAAACATATTAATGGTCAAAGTTGTGTGTTGCCAAACGTGAAAATGGAAGTATTGCAACTAAAAAAATAACTGAGGAAGTATATAGGATGTGATACAAAAACCATAATGAACTTTCGAAGTTAAGGACTGAAAATATAATTCGTTAAAGCTTTAAAAGGCAGATGAAGTGTCGGATAGTCCAAATAGCATGACCAAGAATTTGAAATGTGTAAAAGGCTGTCTTTTCCATATCATTGGGCGCCCTGCCGATTTGATGGTAACCTGAATGTAGATCCAACTTTGTGAGAATAATGGCGCCTAACAGCTCGTCCCAGAGCTCAAATCCAAACTACCAGCCCTAGGCAAGAACTAGAAGGTAGGTGAGATTTCGAAGGTGCGGTGATTAGAGTACAAATCATAACTTCCTGCTCTAGGCATGGAAGGAGACTGTTGGTTCCACCGTGGCTCAAACAAGAGTAAATACTCAAGAGATATATTATTGTTCCAATCAATAAGCATCTATAGGCAAAAGACAAGTCTTAAAATAAATAATAGGAAAGAGATCTAACTATTGCAAACTCATAATAACAAATTGTATGAAGTAAGGAAAGCTAATGAAAGGAAATAAAGATAATTCGGTGAACAATTCAAGTTGACCCAGCTAAGACCTTTCTGCAGTGCTGGTACACACAGCACACAGATGGCTCTATAACAGGATGCTGGAAATTTAATTAGAGGTTACCTGAAATGGCAAAGAAGGAAGAGGTTCAACCTCTGACATCAGACTCATCCCGCTTAAATAAATTTGTGCATCTAGTCGTGCTTCGCCATCCCTTGAGTAGATGAAGTTCACAATATATTGTCGGCAGAAGCTATCCCTGAGATTGTCAAGTGAGCGCTGTAGATTGCGCCTCCACTCCTTAACGTCCACAGTAGTGTTGGAGGGAGGCGTTATAATGACATCAGAAAGCCCCCCGGTATCAGTTTCATTGCTTTCAGTAAGTATATTCCATATTCTGGAGACGACCATTGGCAATAATTCCTCAGAAATGGTAAAAGCAGTTCCCAACAATGCTAGCTGCTCTGAGTCTGTCTCAACTCTAAAAGGCACAGACTCTTTCAGCTCAGTGAGGTTGTCATCTTCGGAAAGGCCTGGTAAGGATTTTATCAATGCATCTACGTACTTGTCGAAAAGCTGTGAAATTCTAGCCAATATATTGCCTCCGAAGTGCAGAATGACTAATGGGCTGAGTCGTTCAACTATTTCCTGCAATTAACATGAAATGAGTGTATTAATTACATGAGGGGTGGAGATGCATCAGAAACCTGTTTCTAGTATTACCAATTAATCAATACAATGCACAAATAAAATTTCCTGCAATTATTAAAAGAGAGGAGATTATCAATTCCAATGGCATTTACTATAGGAGTAGACCAAATAAACAAATGATTAAGCTTCATTAGGATTTAGGGTATGGCCGTCAGAGTGAGATGTAAGCAGATCTTAGTAGAAACGTTGTTTCTATGAAGAACCCAGGCCCCAGCTAAGAATTTTTGGAAGTTTTGAAAAATATAGCAACTTCTGACAAATTTGTAGGTATTAGTAAAAAAAGAAGTGGAAAAAAGACACCATAAGGTGAAAGTAAGTTGAACAGTATAATACAAAATAATTGGTCAAAAAAGGCATAAACTGATTAAAAACACCAGTTAAGAAGGCCGTTTCTGGATTTGAAGATCACTAGACACCTTCAGTTTCAGTTCAGTAACATGCACACAAGTGCCCATCCTTCTTCATATCTCTTATGAACAATGCTGGGAGTGCTTTAGTGCCCTGCTTACTCAAAAATATTGATAGAGCAATAAGTATATGCCATGTCATATACACGTGCACACAGTGTGACAGCACTTTGGTGCAAAAATACGGAGAATACTAGTTCTACGCAACAACGGCAATCGAACCTTAATCCAGAATCTCAAGATCAGCTGTGAATATCTACATATTTTACTTTTTCCTGTCATTCACCATGTGCTAATTAATCGTCAATGCCTTGACTCCCTTTTTACACTCTTAATCAATGTCCCTTTCAGTTTACCACAACACCTCTTTAACTCTCCAACAGTCCACTCTATGTACTACAGAGCTTACCCTTGCACGACAAACACGCCAGATCCGAAAGATACTCATATCAGACCCAAAAGGAACAAGCATAAATAGCAAGGATGTTTTCTTCCTAGAATCATCAGGTAGCATGACTACACTGAGGCTTATTTATATGAGCATGAAGGGCAGATCTATCTATCTATCAGATGAGCTCAATTTATCACCAAATGTTATACGAGGTTAGACATTAAAACCCTTGACCTTCGATAACGCTCTTGATCTATTAGCTGATCTTATAACTATCTACAACTAAAAGTGCATTAACGGATAACATCATGAACTTACAGCTTTGCTTTAGCATAAACCTTGATGGCATGAAATGAAGTAATATGCTCTATAAGAATAATTACCAAGACTAGATAATTGCAAATATTGAACAGTTTAAGCTATAAGCCACTAAACTATGTATTCATTGTTAAAAACGGTAGCTTACTTTGACAACATAAATGAATCTCATGCCACTTTCAACAAGCTGCCGGCCAGATGGCGTGGCAAAAGTAGATAATGGAGATGCAAAACGAGGTGAAAGCATTATCTCCTCATCACTTGTAGCAAAATGGAGAATTGTTTTTCTAGCTCGTATGAAATTCAGCTCAAGCACTTCTTCAATATATGGTTGCAATAGAACCAAAAGCAGCTTCGAGAGTTTCAGGCCATGCTTTTCCAAGGCATAGCAGTGGTTAAGACTAGTCTGAGCACAAAAACTTGCTGCATGTAATGCAGGAGCTGTCTCAGAAGCTGGTGCATGTTCTTTAACTAATCTCACAAAAGATTCAATTTCCCTTTCTGCCCATTGAATAATTCTATTACTATAAAGAGGATTATCGCCAAACATCGAAATGGATTCCTTGGCAGCCAATAAAATAGTAGAGAATACGAGGTTAGACAAAGTTGCTGAGTAAGTTTCAAGATAGCAAGAACACAGTGGAAGGAAAGCTTCAATGCTTTTTTGAAGGCGATACCTAAATGACTTGACAAGTAACTGGTGAGCTAAGGGACCTTTCCCTAACTTCAACAAACCAGACAAAGCCCTTTTGAGCTCAACAACAGCCGTAGAAGGTCTCTCGGTGATCTCGATAAGCTGCTTTTCAAGCATAGCTTTCCTTTTTGACAATGCAGACCTATAAGGTGATGCATCTGCAGATGAAGTATCTCCCACACTTCTTGTTTCTGTGTGACTTTTCTCTTCAGCATCTATTGCCTCTATTGCTTCTTCAATTTTGTGCTCAGCCAGAAGAATATCAATACTTTCCAAAAATGATAAATGGACGGCTTCTGATGCGCTTATGGAGTAATCATCAGTTGAATCACAAGATTGAGAGCTTTCTTGAGTTTCACTAACATCTGAAATAGCTCGGCTCCATAAATCTAATTCATGACATGCACCATTAACTAAATCTTGGACAAGAACCCCATGGGAAGAAATGTACTTTCTTAGCTCATTCAATTCGTGATTCGTCTCCGCAACTTCTTCTGATAACCTACAATTGATTACAAAATGACAATTAATAGGTAAAAGTTGGTATATCTCCTATTATGTGCACAAATACATCTTTTAAACAGGCCATGTTTACTAGTTCAAATAGAAAACAACTCCATTGCATATCAATATATCAATATAAGTATAACAACAAAAATGATAAGAAAAATGAAACATTATATACAGCATGAACTGTAAAATCTAAAGCAAGGGTACTCCGTTTTGGCAGAAGACTCTGTTTTGGAAAACATTATGATTTATGGATGTTCACCACGTTGTGGCTTAATCAATCTATTTACTTATTAGTAAACAAGACTAGGTAATCGATTACTACCTCCGTCACAATTTGATGATCCTGTTTCTTATTCACTTGGTCATCACAAACCACTCTTAATCTCTTACTTTATATATCAAACTTTATCAAATTTTATTTTTCTTTTTGCGTCTTTGTAAAACGTTTAATATAGTTTCTGAATATGTAACTTTTATTTCCTAAAAAGAATTTGAGTGTGGACAGGGATCTGTTTGCTTTATCGTCAGTTAAACCTCGTAAACCGCAATCAGACCATCAAATTGGGATGGAGGGAGTACTCAAATCCATGATCACAAGCCATACACATAATAGCAATCTTCCTGCTGGTAGGGGGTTACTCTTCGCCATACCACCATCTAATATTTTTCAAGCACTCCATTCGCTGTAACTAACGAAGTAAACAACAAAACAAAACACATCTACTATTTTATTTCACCAATGTCACTTGAGGTGAAGTGTCTGACCTTTTGTCACAACTGGGTAAAGTGGTATACTACACATTGCTAAAGAAAAATTCAAATGTTACCACATTCATACTTCTTTTTTGGTAATTTCAGTTGCAGATGAACTTGCAAACCTTAGGTGAATTTTGGGATTAGAATTTACAATTTTAACAGGGGTGTCAAATCCCCAAGTGATAGTAATATTTGAGTTCTCTCTACAGATATTGATCGTAACTGATCATTCTTAATAGTTTAGAGCACTCCTTAAACTCCTCAAGAAGAACTGGATATCAATCTACAGTTTGTATTACTATAACTTCACTAGATACATTACAGTACACACTAAAAACATGTCAACAGTTCGTCTGAACAGTGAACACTAGCACAAAATTAACCCAGGGCATTTGGAAACTTGCCAGCGTTAAAAAGCCACAAAGCCATCTTCAGAGCTTAATATAATTTTCCTGGAGAGCACTTATTGCATATCTATAGATCATTCATAGATACAATCTCTAAACACTCAACCCTAAGGTCAGAGTTACTTTGAGCATCCCTTCAAGAATCAATGGGTTCCAAGGTGGAAAGTTTTGTTATTTGAATAATACAGAGTAAAAAATCCTGAAAAGATCACGTGTATAGTAGGAGAGCAATAATTAGAGAGCAAGAGATAGAGAATGTCATAAAAGAGCCATCGCCCTCTGAGCAACAAAAACAATAAAAAAGACAGGTAGACAAATAAGTAAAACAATCATTTAGCCTACTGCACCCTTTCATTAAAAGGGGATACCCATGGTCGGGTAAGTGTTCAAGGGATAATACTTCTTCATAGAGTAGATGGTTTACTAACCATGTCAAAGTTAAATGTCCCCTCAAACTCAGTCCAAGCGATACTTAAGGTTCCTACACCTACCAGCCATCACATATTGTCAGGTGGTCATGCCAAGAAGAATGCATTTCAGCTGAAATATTGTCTTGGCACATTTAGTTTAAAAAACTAGGATTATTTCATATTCAGTAGAAAGCAGTAAAAATAAAAGCTCGTATTCAACTACTTCCAAGTAATTATTCACTTGAATTTCAGTCAATTTCAGCAATTATGATCTGGGAATACCTCAAGAAGGCCAAGCATTTAGTGCGAGCATTGCCACAGATGTTCTCTACTGCATCTTTCAGTTCCAAGAGCTCAAAAGAAATTTTTCTGATTCCCTGCATAAATAAATTGGATAGATGATAGATTAGCCAGTGGAAGCTCACCTGATAGAAACAGAAACTAATAGATAACATGAACATCTCTAAAAAATAGATAAAATGGACAGAAAGATGTATCTACGGATTCACTTTTTTCCTTCTGTAGGCAAAATACAGTAAAAAAAATCTCCACACTTTAGAACACTATAGTATCGACTACCGACCAAAAGAGTTCGTAAAGAGAAATTCTCATTTTGTTCAACCCGATGAAGTGCTATTAGACATTCTTCTCAAACAAGCAGGAGAAAAGCGGGTGGATAACTCAAAGAGCTAAGCATAAATCTCACCCAAAGAAAAGATTATCCAGAGATAACAAAGTGATAAAGACTACTAATAAAGAAACCCAGAGACAGAAAAAGAGGTCCCAGGAAGGAAATGAAAGAGCTTGAGCACAAGCAAGTAAAATGTTGTGTTTGGATTAACAGCTACTTCGTTCATTTGATCTACACATGAGGAAATTGGTGCAGGAGAGCTGACCTTTTCAGTGGCGGATTGGTAAATTGTATCGATCTTCGACTGGGGGGTTACACTCTCGATTAATGGGAAGTCATCATCTTCTTCGCTGCTCTCTATCCTCATTCTCCGTTTCCTCTCTTTCTAAGAGTGCAGTATTGAAGTTTTGCCTGGAAATAGTGAAGGCCAAACCAGTTCACTGGCAGTGAGTACTGGGTAGTATAAAATCTAACTTAGCTATAAAAAAAATGGAAGTCGGAGAAAAAAATTCAGACAGGGGTTTTCTACTTGGATGTCAACATAGAGGATAGAGACTAGAGAAAATTAGAAAATGTGTATAACTACTTTAAATGTGTGTATAATGTGTAGGAAAATAATAATAATAATAATAATAATAATAATAATAATAATAATAATAATAATAATAATAATAATAATAATAATAATAATAATAATAATAATAATAATAATAATAATAATAATAATAATAATAATAATAATAATAATAATAATAATAATAATAATAATAATAATAATAATAATAATAATAATAATAATAATAATAATAATAATAATAATAATAATAATAATAATAATAATAATAATAATAATAATAATAATAATAATAATAATAATAATAATAATAATAATAATAATAATAATAATAATAATAATAATAATAATAATAATAATAATAATAATAATAATAATAATAATAATAATAATAATAATAATAATAATAATAATAATAATAATAATAATAATAATAATAATAATAATAATAATAATAATAATAATAATAATAATAATAATAATAATAATAATAATAATAATAATAATAATAATAATAATAATAATAATAATAATAATAATAATAATAATAATAATAATAATAATAATAATAATAATAATAATAATAATAATAATAATAATAATAATAATAATAATAATAAGAATAATAATAATAATAAGAATAATAATAATAATAATAATAATAATAATAATAATAATAATAATAATAATAATAATAATAATACGGAGAATCAATTATTGAGCGTTCATTCATAATAATCTCAATTATCGATTATTTCAGAATAATCAAAACTTTAAAAACCTCCCATCAATAATAGTTTGACGTGACGGGCTACTTGTTCAATCAATTAAAAATAAATATCAGATTATAATAATCCAAACTATCATCTGCCAACTTCTTTTGAACCCAAAAATTTAAATTAAAATTTCCATAAATAAAGAGAGAGTGTAAACAAGATAAAAAAAAAATATTTTTACTTCATTAACTTTTAAGGTAGCTTGTGGAATTAAAGAATATAAAATATATAATTATAGAATATGGAAACACCTATATAAATTTCAAAATATAAAATTTCATATAAGATACTATAAATATATAACGAATATAAAATATATAAAGGAGAGTAAAAATGTCAATATTAAAGGAAAAATGAAATTCAAATTAAGTGCAAATTCAAATTTAAGATATGAAAACGTTGATTTTCAAAATTAAGAAAATGAAAAAGATAAAAATACTACTATGTTTTTTCAAAATATTAAAAAATTTAAATGCTAATCATCTTAAAATATTAAATTATTTTAAATTAGTTAAGAATTAATAAAAACCATGAATTTGTAAAAGAATCCAAAAATGGTTATTTATCAAAAAATAAAAAATATATTTTTTCCTGAAAATAAAAAAAAAATGTAACATTTTTATTTCTGAAACACGATATGTTTTCATGTTTAATTAAACTTTCATTTATAAAATTTGAAATTTAAATAACTTTTTCAACTTTTTGTAAAAAATTAAGTTGATAGTTGGGATTATGAGAAAAAAAAATGAGCAGAGTATAAATTATTTATAGAATACGCTTAATTTTTATTTAAAATCAACCTGTTATTATTTATAGAGTACGCTTAGTTTTTATTTAAAATCAACCATTATTGGAAGATGATCTATATAATTGGAGTTATACAAAAATAACCAATAGTTGAGATTATTGTTAGCGGTACGACAATAGTTGAAATCATTGTTTTCAATTTTCTCTAATGTGTATTGTACAACATTTAAAAATACACTATTTGCATATTTTACTTTTAACTATGCTTCATTTATTAATGTACTAATAAAAAAATTAATTATTGTTCAATTTGTCTAATTGTAAATTTTCAAAATATGATGCTTTATTAATAAAGAATTATATATATTAATAGTCAAAGTGATATATCAGCAAACGTTAAAAGTGGACTCTGTTACATTAATCTAAGAATGGAGATAGTATTAAATAATTTTTATATCAAGTCTAGCCTGTCTTACTAGAATCTTGTTAAACTAACTTTATTTTACGTCAAAGTTTAAGTTTATGGTCCAAAACAATTTTTTGTTTAGTACAAGTAGTAAACAAAACAACAAAAATTATATTAGAGGATACATTAGAGTATTAGACTACTAAAATTTAAAAATAAAATGATGATAGAAATGTCTTGGACTCACCTTTTTTAATACTAGTTTCCAAGCCCGTGCGATGCACGGGTAGTATGTATTTTAGCAAATTTTAAATTTGATCTTTTCGAAATCATATATAATGTGACACAAAAGAAAAATAAACTCAGTCTAATATAAATCCGTTTGATAATACTAAAATTCGTCGAATCGTCTGATTCTACTGAAATTGATTAAATCTAATGATTGGGCTGAATTGCACAAATTTTTGAATTATGAAAAAAAATATCATTAATAAAATAATGACTATATTAAAAATATTTAAAATGGAATTCTACATAAGCATCTCAACTAAACATAATTGCTATGAACCCGATTTTAAAGAATTCACACAAAAGTTTCTTAATTAATTTCACAACCTTTAAATTACTTTATTTAAGCATCTCACAATACTATTTTTTTTATAAATATTTTTCATTCAACATGGTATAAAATAAGTGTTTTTAAATTATAATAGTGAGATCTTACATTGAATATTTTTAGTTGGATTGAAATTTTCAATTCTTATGTGGTCTAAAGTAATATGGTCTAGTAGATGTCTATTTTATGTGTTTATTGTTATTGTTATTGATGTTAGTATTATTGATGTTTGATATGGTCTAGTATTTTATTGTTTATTGTTTATTATGAAATAAGTATTTTTAAATTATAATATTGAGATCTTACATTGAGTATTTTTAGTTGGATTGAAAATTTCAATTCTGATGTGGTCTTAAGTAATATGGTCTAGTAGATGTCTAAATTAGTCCAATTAAAAACATCGTGTATACATTAAATTAGGAATATGTAAACATATGAAGTTTTAAAAGGGAAGGATTATCTAAATTGTAGTTGTTAGTACAAAGAAATAACTAAACATAATTACTTTTTTGGCACGACTAAACTTATTTACTTATGAAAAAATATACATAGGGGTTGTTTGAATGATAGCGTGTTAGGCAAAAATGCTATTTGTTTACACTACAAACGCTGCTAATTGGAGCATATAGGTCGGAAAACGCTAAAAACCAAACAATCGCATATTTATATGATATTAATTTTCATCCTTATTAAATAAAGGTGAGATACTTGATCAGAAGTATTCTTTTTTAATGATTCCATATTTGAATGTCTAATAGTATCAATTTCATTTTCAATTTTAAAAAGCTGGTGGTTATAATTTTCATCATTATCTCAATAACTAAGAAAGAATGGTATGAAGATCAAGCTAGAAAATACAAAGTATTAACACAACTGCAAATCTAGCCAGGGGTTAGAATTTTAATCATTATCACATTCAGTTTAGAAACCATTCAAAAAAAAACATTGAGTTTAGAAAAATAAAAAATTGCATTTTAGGAAATGGAACACTATTATTACATTTTTTATTTTTATAAAATAACTTTGAAGAACAAAATTAATAGGATTTTGGCTGATTAATCGGTTAGGTGGGCAAATCACGGATGTTTCATTTCTTCAATAGAATGTAATAAAAAATAAAAGGTAATAAGAATAATTAAATAATTGTTATAAAATACGAAGTATATAACCTATGTGTACGGTTGGCTATTAATCGTTGTGGTTCCAATTGTTGAATTTAATAACTATTCAAACGAATAAGTAATAAGTTCCGAAAAGTTATCAAATTTGGAGGATTTCTATTCTACGTTTTTTTTTGTTTCCATAGTAATATAAAAGTTACCAAATTTGGAGGATATCTTTTATACGTTTTTTTTTGTTTCCATAGTAATACGTAATAAAAAAAAATAGAATGTACTAAAAAATAAAAGGTGTAAATAATAACTAAATAATTGCTATATATGATGACATGGCATGATTATGTGGCGCAAATCACGGATGTTTCATTTCTTCAATAGAATGTAATAAAAAATAAAAGGTAATAAGAATAATTAAATAATTGTTATAAAATACGAAGTATATAACCTATGTGTACGGTTGGCTATTAATCGTTGTGGTTCCAATTGTTGAATTTAATAACTATTCAAACGAATAAGTAATAAGTTCCGAAAAGTTATCAAATTTGGAGGATTTCTATTCTACGTTTTTTTTTGTTTCCATAGTAATATAAAAGTTACCAAATTTGGAGGATATCTTTTATACGTTTTTTTTTGTTTCCATAGTAATACGTAATAAAAAAAAATAGAATGTACTAAAAAATAAAAGGTGTAAATAATAACTAAATAATTGCTATATATGATGACATGGCATGATTATGTGGCGCGTTGTATGCTCTTAAAAAATTCCTCTTTTATATATATATATTGATTCTTTGGGAACTCTATCAATATGAATTTGGTAATCAATTTATCAGACATTATTAGTTTTTTAATTGATTTCAATCTGATTTATTATAAATAGAATTGTAATTAGTATACGTAAATGTATATATAGGCTACAGTTTTCGGATATAACTATCTTTTAAAAATTATTATAATGTTATCACTATTATTAATATTATTATAATTATTATCACTTTAATTTATCGAATATATTTGATTAACATTCAAATCGAATACACTGATATTATTATTTGATAACAATTCGAATCAATTTTAGTATTCTTATTTGTATTTGTATTTGAATTTTTTGAATTCGAATAACCTTATACGAATTTGAATATAAATTATTTATTCTTTTACAATCCTAGGCCAGTGGGCTTATGGTTATGTTTGTCTAGAAGGAGGTTAGTGTCCGAGAGTTACTTTATTATTTGCAATTCTCCTGATTGTACTATGAGTTTTGGTTTAATATAATATATCAATTTC